TACTAGTCTATTGATCATATCTAAACCATTATTTGACAAAAGTCAGTGTGTGTGTGTATGCTTATAACTATCAAACCACTAAGATGATTGTCATCAAATCTCTTGGAACCCCCTTTGAGTAACCCCTCCATATCACCCACCCAGCCCTTGTGTCTTCCCCATGCATTAAATGGGTAGTTTTTAATATTTAAACATGTACCTATACATCAGGGTACAACATTTTTTTTGAGCTTGTCATTGTGCCAGAATGTATGTCATTCCCTCTTACAGTGTACGCTTATTATATGTATGATAGTATTAGATTAGATAATCCAGTTATGATCATTACATCATTTCCAAGTCTCAAACTGAGAAGAATAATAATACAGCCAGTGACAATGTAGATTTCACATGATCAGAATACTTTCCAGTCTCATAAATTATCACTATTTTAGTATACACAGTCTTAAACAAAAGTTGCTTTATTAAATGATCAAAAAATATAACAGGGTTGTTTTTAAAACCTGTGTATAACAATACAATTATACACTGTATTATGATTACATATGAAAACTAGTAATGTTTTCATTTAAAAGCAGCATTTTACCCTGTTTAAGTTAAAACAAATAAAGACTCAAGATTCTCATATCTAACTAACCATTCTGACCAATAAAGACTCAATGTTTTCATCCATTCTGACCAATAGTTTTCTTCAATTTAATGAGCTAAAGAAAAAAATTTTCAAAAAGGTCCTTCACACACATAATTGTTAATATAAAAAAAATCAGAAAATCGCCTTCACATATAATTTTTAATACAAACAAATTTCAAAAAGTGCCTTCATACAAGACTTTTAATAGAAATTTTTCTTCTAATACTATTTTAGTTTTATGAATCTTAATCTGCAAGATTTAGCCAGACTTTATAAACCTCTACATGGATATTGAATGTTTTATTACACATATTTATAAAAATCCATATATATATATATATAGGCTTACTTGTCACAAGTATATCATATGAAACTTAATATACCTATTAATAAAAAAAAATGAAGTGGAATTCCATTCAACAAAAAATGATCTTTAACAACATTATAATATTTAAAACGGTTCCAGTTTTTAAAAATATCGGAGACAGATTTATGTAACAGAAATAACCTTATATCTACTTACTTTTCTCGGAGATCAGCTGCACAGTAGTCGCACGGATAAAACTTTGAGAAAATCGTAACAAACTTCTTCATATCTTCTTGATCTGAAAAACTTGGTTTATCCGGGTAGTACGCCGCCATCGTATGGAGGAGAGACCACGTGTTGCGTCCCAGCTCGTCTTTGTCAAGTGGACATTCATGGTTTGGCATTGTCCGAGATGACTATAAAAAGAAAAAAAGGTTTTATATAAAAAATCTGCATGCTTGTTGAGATAAAACTAACAGGGGGTTCTTTACCCGATTTTAGCTTATCGCCATTCTTCACAAACACAGTATCTAGTATTATCTGTAAAGAAAACTATAATATATTTCAACAAACTGATGTCAAACCCACCTTAAAAAGTTTCATATACTTCTCACTTACACATGTAATTGTAACAATTAAGTTAAATTCCTATATAAAAATTGCTTGCTCTGTTTAGTTT